TTTAAGAAAAATAATAAAGTTTTTCAATAATTGGTTTAAATGTTCAATAATTCATTGAATGACGACTCGAGTGATACGACTGTCACTGAATGCTCGCATCAATTGAATCAATGCTTGTATTCATAGCGCACTAAGAAATTAGCGATTTTTATTCATAAAAAACAGACATACGTGCAGTAAAACTAAAATTATGACCAGGGTAGGTATTTTGTTCAAATTTTATAAATCACACATAAAATTTTAATAAATTTCCAACATTTTGGTGAAGTTTTTGTTATGCTATCATTATTGTAAATATTTTTAATTTTAATTAAAAGTAGTGCTAATACGATGGGACACCCTTTATATAAGGGGTTTCATTTTAATAGACTTAGAAATAATGGTTATTTACAGTATGAACATGCTAATTTGTAGACAAATAACATGCTATGATAAGAACAATAATTATCCATGAACAATCACGTTTAACTACGTGTGCAAAACTTGTGTTTAAAACATTGTAATACTAATACTACTACTAGTATATTAAATAAATAATAAATACAAGTATATTAAATAATTTTATGTAATTATAAAATTAAATAATTACTATCATACAAAATATTTAAATTTTATTTCACTCGAGATTAAGATTAAATATATCAAATTAAAATTCCCCTAAATTAGGACCAAATTATAGATATCAAAATTATGACCATGATAAACTTTTGTATGTGACAGATAGTAGTTGTGATCATTTGTCCCTTAAAACGTGAAATGATTTAACTGATTGTATTTATTGCAAAAATATTGCAATTCTACTAAAACAAAACAAATTATCTTACAATTTACTAATAAATATAATTTTTATTTTAATAATTTATTTTTTAGTTTAATCCCTTAAAAGTTTATCATTAATATATCAACTATTAATATGTTTATAACTTATTACAACAGGTATGCCATAAAATTGATAGCAGTTATCGTAACTAATGGTAACTAAAGTAAAATATCTTTATTGTAGTATATTTAGTAAGTTATTGTCACACCCAAGCTTATTACAAATAACTGGTTAACATTTATTATAAAACCTAAATAAATTGTAATACCAAAATAATTTTATCAATACTTGCTAAATTGCTATTAAATTAGTGTGTAATATTAATGTTTAATATTAATTTAAATATATTTAATATTGTGACAAACAACTATAGTATTATAACGTTGTTATACAATGTATTAAAATAATATATTACAAAATATACATCACACACATTATTATAAACAATTTAATTTACTAAATAATGTCTGACTTGTTAAATAAGTTTACGATTTTTGACAAAATAGATGTCAATCTCAAACAATCGGTAAAATTATTTCACATTTATAATGAAGGAAATAGTCTATTATTTGTGACGCACGATGACCTAGTATATAGTGTGGGACATAACTATTACTACTATGAGCCGGGACATAAACATGAAACAGATACACCTACATTGATCCCGGAGTTGTGTCAAAAAAGTATCCAGCAATTTATCAATGGATATAACTGTTTGTTTGCAATCACTAACGAAAAGCACGTATACAGTTGGGGCGCCAATGATAAGGGACAGGTGGGCCGAGAACTTGTATGTGACAACTTTATTGCTCCAGGTGAAATACAATATTTGAATGACAAGAATATCACACATTTCATTACGTAATGTATTATAAGTTATTCTGTACTCCTTTGAAAAAAATCTACAAAATCGTCGAAATTTGTTTCACCAAGCTCACTATTCTTAGAGAATAACTTATAAATCTTATCATCAATCATAACGCAAATAAACTCCAAAATCTTATAATCTATGTGACAATAGTATCGTTGAATATATTGACAATTATATTTAGATAGAGTGACCACTAGTTCCGGTTGGTGTTGATACTGATTAATGTAATACAGTTGACCAGATTCTGCGAGAAAATACGTAACATATTTAGCCGTAATAATAGCCTTAATATCATATAAATTAGCTAAAAGATGTGGACCGCGTATCAAATTAGAATTCTCAAAAAAATGCTCATCGCGGCCCCAATAAAACACCCTGCCCACATCGGTGATGGCGTACGATGCAAAATCGAAACAGTATATATCCTTAATTTTTGTGCCATGCTCAAATTCCAATTTAATTGGCGTACATATTATCTCTTTGTCTTGACCATTGCAGACTATTTGATTATAGATATTCCAGCCCCACCCGTACACCTGGCCATCGGTGGTGAGGGTTAGGGAGTGATATGTACCACAATATATTTGTGTGATATTCTTGTCATTCAAATATTGTATTTCACCTGGAGCAATAAAGTTGTCACATACAAGTTCTCGGCCCACCTGTCCCTTATCATTGGCGCCCCAACTGTATACGTGCTTTTCGTTAGTGATTGATGATAAGATTTATAAGTTATTCTCTAAGAATAGTGAGCTTGGTGAAACAAATTTCGACGATTTTGTAGATTTTTTTCAAAGGAGTACAGAATAACTTATAATACATTACGTAATGAAATGGTAGAAAAATCCAATACCTTGGTAGAAAAGTATAAGATACTAGCTCAAATGAACACAACTATCAAGCAATCGGTGAAATTGTTTCATGTGTTTAACTATAGACGGGACGCACTGTATGTGACATACGATGACTTAGTGTATGGCATTGGCTGTAATAGTAACGGGTGTCTGGGTTTGGGTCATAACCAACTCGTTGTCGGAACCCCTCAACCCATACCAGAGTTGTGTCACCAGAGAATCCAACAGTTTATTAATGGCGAGGACTTTGTGTTGGCTATCAATGTGGACAGTCATGTGTTCAGTTGGGGACACAACGAAAGTGGACAGTTAGGTAGGGATGTGACCGAAAGTGGTGTGTATTTAAAACCAGAAGAAATATTGTATTTGAATGACAAGAATATAATACATGTATGTTGTGGTCCACACCACTCCCTGGCCCTGACTGCAAATGGACTGGTTTACGGGTGGGGGAGTAATAATTTACGTGAGCTAGGTTGTAATAATGATGAAAATCACGTTATATGTCGTCCAATTAATATTGACTTTATGAATGTTACTAAAATTAAATCAATATATTGCTACGACCGGTGCTCATTTGCAATAACAAGTGGGGGACAGGTGTTCAGTTGGGGCAACAATATTGAGTCAAAAACCGGTAATCAAGATTCCTTATTAGTGCATGGTCCAAAATTAGTGTCGATTTTAAATGTACAAAGAATAGCTTGTTCAGAATTTATGACATTTTCACACAGATTCCGGTGATTTGTATTTTTGTGGGAAATATGGTAATGGACAACAAAGTGAACCTAAATTATTGCAATATAATTGTAATGAAATACAGAGATATTATTCGTATAAGACGTCGCATTATATAAGTGTAATGATAAAAAGTAAAATTTATAAATTGGATTCGAAGAATGAACTTGTTGAAACAAGTTATACTAATTTTGAAGATTTCTTTGCCGACGAAAGCAAAATTACATATAATTCTCAAAGTAATCTTAAAATTAAAACAATATCAAGCTCATTTAATCAGATTAAATACTTAGACGAGGGAGGTTATGGTAAAGTGTATCAAGCGGAATGTAAACTGGATAATAAAAAATACGCTATTAAACGAATAGAATTAAACGGTAATTTGTAAAAGTTAAATTAAATTTATTTACAAATTAAATTCATATATTTTTTATAGATTTTTCAGATAAAGAAAAAGAAAAATTATTATCAGAAGTCCAGACATTAAGTGTCTTACGATCAGAATATGTGGTCCGATATTACGATTCGTGGACTGAAAGCCAGTGTTTTTGTATTCAAATGGAGTTCTGTGCACAGAATTTACAGAAAATTCTTGGTGTAAAAGCACAGGTATTTGGTCGGCATGAGGGGGAAGCTATGGATTGTGTCGAGTATTTCATTTCGTGTGAAATATTCCGTCAGATCTTAGAAAGTGTTCAGTATTTGCATGAATTGAATCCACAGATTATACACAGAGACCTCAAACCAGAAAACATATTGATTGACATGAATGTAGAGAACAGTAGGTTTATTAAGTTATGTGACTTAGGTTTGGCTACAGTTCACCACAAACTCATTCACTACAGGACGACACATAAACACACCGCAGATGTCGGGGATATCAGATATATAGCACCGGAAGTAACTCAGGGCAGGAAATATAATCACAAATGCGATGTCTATAGTCTGGCACTAATTGCGGGGAAAATATTTAATTTTGATTTATTCAATCTTGGATTAAAAACGTAATCTATTATAAAATTTTAAAAACATTTTGTAATTTTAATTATTTATTTTTTAGACCCAAACCGTATTCACCAACAAATACAGTCCTAAACGCACCGGTACTTAAAATGAAGCAAACATTGAAATCAATGGTTAACCTGGAATGGGATGATAGGCCGGAATGTAGTGAAATATTGTCTGAATATAACGAATGGTCTATTGATAGGAATATTCTCGCAAATGTACCCCGATTTGAGTCAACACAAAGTAAACTTCAAACCAATGATAATCAGTTTTTCTATGACTTTTATAATTCAGTTTCTTTAACCGGTAATTATACCCCAAATAATAGTGCTGAAATTAATGAGCCTTCGCATAAAAAACTTAAACTCGTTTAAAAATTTAATATTTATAAATTATAATTTTTAATTAATGTACTTCTATAAAATATTAAAACATCTATTACTTAACAAAAATTATGTCTTGTTTCTTTAGAATAAAAGAATTTTATTAGTTTAACAGTACCATCCTATATATTAATTAATTAAAAATTTTAATTAAATATAATTTCATTAGTCTAAAATGTGTTTTCACTTGACTACTTTAGAACTAATTTAATGTTTAGTTGTTTGCGGTTTAAAAACATTACTGTGCTTGGAGACAATGGTAACATTATCAATTTATAGTAACTAGTGACAATTAGGTTATATCACAGAATTATTGCGATAACTACATTAATATAAATGGCTGTGTAAATTGTTTTTATGCAACAAGTAAATAAGGCTAAAAATTTAATTCAAATATTTTAAAATTAATAATTCAATCCACCTTGTACATTTACTGACAAAATGACTCATCCGTTCGATAAATACAAGGTGTTCGACGAAATCAACGAAACAATCAAACAATCGGTAAAATTATTTCACGTTTTCAACGGCGGAAGCGATTTATTGTTTGCGTCATCCGATGACATGGTATACGGTTTGGGCAAAAATCTTATGGGTTGTCTGGGTAAGGGTCACAACAAGGAGGTCAAAACACCCGAACCCATACCGGAGTTGTGTCATATAAATGTTCAACAGTTTATCAATGGATACGACTTTGTGTTAGCGCTCACCGATAATAGACATGTATACGCTTGGGGTAGGAATAAATATGGACAGTTAGCTCGTCAATTGACTATAAAAGGATTATTTACGCCACAAAACATATCATATTTGAATGACAAGAATATAACGCAAATCAGTTGTGGTTATCAGCACTCCCTGGCCCTCACAGCCAATGGCCAGGTATACGGGTGGGGCTGTAATGCATACAAAGAGTTAGGGTGTGACCCAAACATACGTGATATTGTAACCCCGATTAAAATTGTGTTTAATAATGATTCAATAATTAAAGATATTCATTGTGCCACTCGTGTCTCATTTGCAATTACTCGCCAGGGTCAAGTATACAGTTGGGGTGCAAACACTGATTACGCAATTGGGCATAAAGACCAAGTTGAATATAATCCACGATTAATCCGTAACCTAATTGATGTGAAATCGATTGCGTCTTACGGTTTTAAAATATATTTTCTCACAAAGTCCGGTCAATTGTACTATTGTGGCAACAAAAATAACCCAGACCCTCTATTGTTATCGCCTAAATTCTCGTGCCAAGAATTGCAGCGATTCAACTCATACGCTTATCGTGGCAAATTTATTTTTCTTATGAAAAATAATACATTTTATAAAATGCATGATGATAGTTATTTTATCGAAGTGCATTTCGATAGTTTTGACGATCGTTTTGCTAATGAGCGATATATTAGTTATAATACGCAACGTGTTGCAGGGAACAAAATTTTAACTAGTTCATTTGTTGAGGAAGAACCTATAGGCCAAGGAAGTTTTGGGAACGTATATCAAGCGAAAAATACGCAAGATGATAAGTTATACGCTATAAAACGCATTGAATTAATAGGTATGTATTTTTAAATTATAATAAATTGGACTAACTAATTTTAAAGATTTAATTGCCAGAGTTTGATGCTAAACAAACCAAGAGGCTTTTGAGAGAGGTCAAGACATTAATAGCTGTGCGATCAGAATATGTAGTCGAATATTATAATTCGTGGACTGAAGGCAACATGTTTTACATACAAATGGAGTTGTGTTCACAAAATCTTCAAAATATTCTTGAAGTCAAACCACAAGTGTTTGGCAGAGAATTAGCAGAACCTATAGATTGCGTCGAGTATTTCATTTCGTGTGAAATATTCCGTCAGATCTTAGAAAGTGTTCAGTATTTGCATGAATTGAATCCACAGATTATACACAGAGACCTCAAACCAGAAAACATATTGATTGACATGAATGAACCCACCTCACCGGTATGTTTATATTTTGTATTATAATGGACACGTTTATCATGAAATGTAGCCAACCCAAAGTGTTCAGTATTTGCATGAATTGAATCCACAGATCATTCACAGGGATCTTTACCCAGCTAATATACTAATTATTAGGAAACCGGGAAACGAAAGGTTCATTAAGCTATGCGACTTTGGGTTGGCTACATTTCATGATAAACGTGTCCATTATAATACAAAATATAAACATACCGGTGAGGTGGGTAACATAAATTATATGCCACCTGAGATACAAGAAGGCGAAAAGTACGGTAAAAAATCTGATGTGTATAACCTGGGTCGAATTGGTGGAGAAATATTTGGCTATAAATCATCTCGATACGATCAGAATAAAAGTAAGCATGTTCTTAATATTGTTTTCAATGTTTGTTTTATATCTAGCTCTGTTTTATTTCACTAAGACTATTCCGATAAAAGTGATCTTAACGTGTCCATACATCGTTTGTATAAGACCCTGGTATCTATGGTGGTGGCCCCCAATTGGCGGGATAGACCGGAATGTAGTGAAGTGTTGGCTAAATATAACGAGTGGTCTATCGATAGGGATATTGTTGTCAAAGATCCAGAATTTATTAATATTAGAGAAAAGCTTAAATCACATGAGAATGAAATATTCTATGCTATATGCGATAATATCCTTAGTGACCATGGTACATCAGTGATAAATAACAAAGCTGTTTGTAGTGGGGAAGGTGGGACGAGACCAAAACGGATGAAATTATCATAATTTTCCTTGGTTAACATGTTACTACTTACTCTATAACTATTTTGTATTAAAAAATTGAAAATCTTGAAAAATTTGTTTTAAAAGTTTATATACAGCTATTATCGTAGTAAGTTACTACAGTAACTAATGTTATTAGCACTTTTAACGTTAGCTATATATCGACAAAATATTCATATATTATTTGATTAATTTAATTTTTAAAAATAATTCTATTTACTGTATATCATTTAAATCAGCAATTATTACTTAGCTTTAAATGAAAAATCTATAATGATTTTTAACAAAGACTAATGTGACACTATTGGTGTTAACCCTTAAAACCGAAACACGGTCCAATATATAGTATTTTTTAATACTAACTGACTAATAAGTCCAATAAGGGTGAGACAGCTAATGGGAACTAATTTTGATACGAAATAAATATTCAATGAAATTAACTTTATTCTTTTATACAATAATAAAAAATTTATGCATTTTATTTATAAATCATTTATCATATCCATATAATAATTTACGTGGTGTAATATCATCATTTTCAACATTCAACTAACGCTCCTTAACATACTGCTCACTGATTTCAAGGTATCGATTATCAGGGACATCTCTTTAAAAAATAAATATTTAAAAACAAACCAAACAGTCTCTGTATTTACAATGGCAATAATAAACTGGGACACGCTTTATGTTTATACCGTAGTATTAAATTGACAACAGATTGTACATTTTAATTACTACTACAGCGCACGTAAACTATGGCATTGAAATAGTTAGCATGTGTTTCGAAAGTATTAATAAAACTGCTATATCAATGATCTAGTTTATATAAGTAAATTGTGTGCTAAATACAACTTATATCGTACCAAATAAATTACCGAGTTTATTTAAAACAATATTATTCTGTACAGTACTTGTTAAATGAAATGTTAGTCACATTGGAGGACAAGTACCCTATATTCCAACACATCGACCAAACCATAAAGCTATTCGTGAAAATATTTCACGTATATAACCATGGTAAACGCGTACTGTTTGCCACATACGATGACTCAGTGTATGGTTGTCTACTCGGCGGGGATTGGATGCCACCGAAACGCATACCGGAGTTGTGTCACCAGAATATACACCAGTTTTACACCGGTTTGCACTTCGCGTTGGGTATCAGTGTCGACAACCACCGTATATACAGTTGGAGTCACACAGCGATGGGACGGGTAGGCAGTGGTGGCTGTGGTTGTTATCAACCGAAAATCATTATAAAATTGAATGACAAGAATATCACACAAATATTTTGTGATTACGAACACTCCCTGGCCCTCAGCGCCGATGGACAGGTGTATGAGTGGGGCTGTAATTATAACGAAACTGCCTACGACCATGTTCATATTACCGTAGATGAGCCAGTAGAGATTAGTTTTAGCTCCGCCACTATAATAAAATTTATATATTGCTATAGTCGGAGCTCATTCGCTATCACCGATGAGGACCGGGTGTACGCCTGGCATACCGGTGCCAATAAGGCGTTACCCCAATTGATACCATCATTAATGGGTGTCAAGGCTATCGCGTCGTAAGTCAAAAATTTTATCACTTATTTCCATACAAATTCCGGTCGGCTATACTCGTGTACTATTGTCGAGGGTGAGGTGTACAATGTGCCCCAGGTAACGGAGTATGCGTGCCACGAATTGCAGCAATATCAATCGTACATTAACGTGCCGTTTATATGCTTGCTCAATGATGGTAAAATGAGTATTTTGGATGCACTCACTCGAGCCAATCCGAGCCACACTATGAGTGACAAAACTTTGAACATGTTAACATTAATCTTAATAGTGACTAATGTTATAATTAAGAATCGGTAAAAGGTGTTTTAAATAGTGGGTAAAAAGGGAATGTTGTAAAACATAATTTAGGAGCAAAGCCTTAGTATCTTTACCTAAGATTCAAAATTGTTTGTCATTTCTATCACTAATCTCAGAAAGTTTAATTTATTAATATGTTTAAAATTCATACAAACTAGTCAGATATCTATACTTAATTTTATTAAATTATACATGATAATACAAGTAGACCAAAAGTAATTAAAATAAAGTTATCTTATACATGATTACCAAGTATTCATTTAAATAAAATAAACCTCTTAACACTTTTTAAAAATCATTACTGTATTTATTAATTTAATTTAAATAAAAATATTTACATTTTGATAAAAACAATTCTAATAGCCAAGGACAAACTTTTAAGCAAATTATTGTATCTTGTAACAATATTGAATTATTTAAAAATAATGATCATCAATGATGATTAAGAATCGGTAAAAGTCTTTTTAAATAGTGGGTAAAAAGGGAATGTTGTAAAACATAATTTAGGAGCAAAGCCTTAGTATCTTTACCTAAGATTCAAAATTGTTAGTCATTTCTATCACTAATCTCTTGTAAAATAATTTGTTATAAAAACATATTCACCGAGTAATTTGAAAAAATACAGAATAAATATAATTCAAATTAAGTATTAGCAAGGTGTTTATTGAAACTATGATTTATTTATTGAATTTATTTTTAATTCGAGTCATATTTGTATTAATCAAATATATTTTGCATGAATGTTTTGAAAATATTCATTTAATTTGTATATACTTCTTTAAAATTACTCGATGAATATGTTTCATTAAAAATTATTTTACAAGAGATTAGTGATAGAAATGACTAACAATTTTGAATCTTAGGTAAAGATACTAAGGCTTTGCTCCTAAATTATGTTTTACAACATTCCCTTTTTACCCACTATTTAAAACACCTTTTACCGATTCTTAGTTATAATGTTCACAGTTTTGTCACTCTTAATGTGGCCTGGGTTACAATGTGTGTGTGCATCGTAGGTGAGCACAATCACAGAATCTAGCGAATGGCGTTGCACAGATTTCGATACGTTTGATGATTTCTATTGCGATAAATTACGAATCACATATAACACACAACGAAACTTGTTAGCTAAAGATCTATCAAGCTCATTTGTGGATATAAAATCGATTGACCAGGGAGGTTATGGTGAGGTGTACCTAATGAAACACAAGCTCGATCACTGTTTATACGCCATCAAAGAGATTGACATTGGGTGTAAGTAGAGCATGTTGCATTTTAAATGTAATAATTTATATATTTTTATTACTATTTAAAGATCTCTCCGATAAAGTGAAACAGAGATTATTGACAGAAATCGACACATTAAGAGCTGTGCGATCGGAATATGTGGTAAAATATTACGAATCATGGATTAAATGGAATAACAAGGTCTGCATTCAAATGGATTACTTTGAGTCACAGAATCTGCGGGATATTCTTGAACTCAAACCACTACTTTTTGTCAGAGAATTAGGGGAACCTATGGATTGTGTCGAGTATTTAATTTCGTGTGAAATATTGCGACAAATCTTAGAAAGTGTTCAGTATTTGCATGAATTGAATCCATAGATAATTCACAGAGACCTCTATCCGGAAAATATATTAATTTCTAAAAATCCTGAGATCGGTAGGTTAGTTAAGTTATGCGACTTTGGTTTGGCTACAGCTCACGACAGGCGTATACATTACCGGACAAAATACAAACATACCGGTGATGTGGGTAACTTAAGTTATATGCCACCCGAGATACAACAAGGTGAAAGATACGGTACAAAATCGGACGTATATAATCTTCGTCAAATTGGTGGTGAAATATTTGAATTTATGCAAACTGCATATGTGCATTTGTTGCAAACTATACTGATATCTATGATGACGTACCCCTTGTGGAGAACGAGACCGGAATGCAGTGAAGTGTTGGCGAAATATAACAAGTGGTCTATCGATAAGAATATTCTTAGAAATGATTGCCGATTTAAGTCCACATTACGTATACTTAAATACAATGAAACACATTTTTCTATGAATTATTTACATCAATAATTAAACGAAACTAAAATTATATGGATGCAGTTTAGATTTTTATTATATACTGACACAATAAGAGTGCATTATTATTTTATCTACTCTAATGAGTCATTAGTAATGACCAAACCTGGGACCAATATGTTCACTATTGGTGCGATGGCTAACGGAATGGGATCTTATATGAGAAAGGTACATGAGAAAGTGTAGCATGAATATAAAAATTAATCATTTTAATACAATTAAAACATTGAATCATTGCGTTTAGATATTCATGTTTTATAAAACGTGGTTTCAAAAGTCCTTTACTCATATGATAAATATAAAACACAATTTTATTGACTCGATTTTTGTACGGTATAATCATACACATTTAATTGCATGCAGTATAATATTATCAGGTAGATTATTGTATGGTACCATTATAGCATTGTAGGTAAATTGTAGTCAATGGAAATGACATATCATAAATTATGATTCATAATGGTGAGTTGGAGGTTTATACATTTGAGTATCACAGCCATAATTAATTTTTAAGTACATTGTATAAAATAAACAATTTTAAAAAGTGGTACAATTATTTATAATGTATACAACATTGTTCAAATTATTTAATTAAATAATAACTTTCCCTTAATAATAGTGTTTATTTTACATTAAGAAAATTATTTAAAATATTTTAATTAATAACTAAAATGTCAATTACTCAATTGGATAATAATGATTTAAATATTATTGGTGTTAAGCTAAATAGCGATAAGCTGGAATTAATTGGCAAAGGTAGTTTCGGTAATGTGTATAGAACAGAATATAATCAAAATAACCTATGTTACGCTGTGAAAGTAATTAATTATAGTGGTTAGTACTGTACATTAAATATTTGTGTTTAAAATATTTTGTATGGAAAATATTTTTTACAGATTATACTGAAACAGAACTAAATAGACTATCGAAAGAAGTCGAGACATTAAAAGCTGTTAAATCAGAATATGTGGTCAAGTATTACAGCTCGTGGACTGAAATGAGTACATTATGCATTCAGATGGAGTACTGTTCACAAAATCTACTGGATATTCTTATCATGAAACCAACAGTATTTGATCGACACGAGGGAGAAGCCATGGATTGTGTCGAGTATTTCATTTCGTGTGAAATATTTCGTCAGATCTTAGAAAGTGTTCAGTATTTATCATTGAACTAATTATGTATTTAAGTTTGAGTACGGGTGAGTTTAGCGGTCCATATCTTGATGAATATGGTTTCGGACTGTAGATAAATTTTAAGATAAAATTTGCATGAATTGAATCCACAGATCATTCACAGAGACCTCAAACCAGAAAACATATTGATTGACACGATTTCAAGGAACGGTAGGTTTATCAAGTTATGTGACTTTGGTTTGGCTACAGTTCACGACAAACTCATTCACTACCGGACGACACATAAACACACCGCAGATGTCGGTGATTTGAGATATATAGCCCCAGAAGTGGTTCAGGGAGATAAATACGGCCATAAGTGTGATATATATAGTCTGGCACTGATTGCGGGGAAAATATTTGATTTTGATGTTTTTAACTTAGACTCACAAACTAATTTTATATTCCGTATAATCCAAAAAATGTAAATTATTAGTTATATCTAATATTTTGTATGGTATTAATTTAGTATTATCTTAAAATTTATCTACAGTCCGAAACCATATTCATCAAGATATGGACCGCTAAACTCACCCGTACTCAAACTTAAATACATAATTAGTTCAATGATAAATACTGAATGAAATCAGAGGCCGGAATGCAGTGAAGTATTGTCTAAATATAACGAGTGGTCTATCGATAGGAATATTCTCGCAAATGATCCCCGATTTGAGTCCACATTAAGTAGACTTCAATCAAATGAAAACACATTTTTCTATCAATTATTATCTTATAATTTAAGTCTTAAATCAGTAAAACATTCACACACAAAAATAATCACTATTCTATCAAAATATTCTAGTGGTTTTTTATTTGTTATATTTGTAGCTTATATGTTTAATTATTTAATATATCCTTCGATCATTGTGAAAGTATTCTTGGACGATAATATATCTTACGGGAGAGTATCCGTTCCAGAAGCAGGGTCCATGCCAGGTGTCTCGTCCGAGAACGTAACCGGAACTCCGCACGGGGTCCAGAACTGTAAGTCCTCTTTTTTCTGTTTGCATTTTCCATATAATTATTTTCCATACACAGAAAATTTACATTTTAGAAAAATACTTAAATATGTGATTTGTTGATATTTCGGCATTATAATTATTTATATTTATAAATTCACTCTAAAATGATAACAAATTATTATCAATATTTTGAGCCAAATGTTTACATTTACGACAAGTCAAAGCGATTTTCTTATTTATTATAAGACTTAAGAAATATTTTTCATAATTAACTTTTCGCACAATGAATCGCAACGTTATTCTCGTAACACTTATTGTGATGTCAGGTATGCATCAAATTCTGTTTAATCCTTTTGTTTACTCTTATTGTTTGGAATTTCATTTCAAACACTTTTCAATTTATTATTTAAATAACTTTAGTTCACATAATACTCTATTCTTATAAATCTTTTATAAAATATTGATTAAATAATTTGCATTCATTTACTTTAAATTCAAGAATGCTTTGTTCTTATTATACGAGAATTATATAAAGAAATATATTAAATGTTTGCGAGTATACTCTATTTGTAATATAGCTTTAACTTAAGGGTAAATTATATGTAAGGGGTATAAGTTTATAGAAGTGGGTTTCCATTTACAATATTATGGATGTGATTGATATAGTTTAGAATTTTTACTCACAATTTAAGCATAAATCCTTTATTTAAGCATATTTTCTACAACACACTTCCTATACTAAACTTTCGATACATATTGCTTCATATGTTATATGAATGCTTTCATAGACTACATTAGATTACTTTATGTTTGTTTGAAAGCTAATCATAGCATTTGATAGGCTTAATAATTCATCTCATTTTAGTTTGCATTTCATTCAAAATGACTTAAATATTAAATATTATTATTTTGACGAACAATAGACTAATAAAATAAAAGAGAAATTCTTTAGAAAAGAAACAAATAGTGTATACAAACAGAGTGTGAAAAGTGAACGCATTCCTGCATTTGTATTCAATACGATATACAGGTATTGCATTGCATTCAATGCATTATTTAAACATTTCTCTTCTCAAATGAGATTTTAATAAAATGTAACAAAAAAGGCGATACATTCGCGTGT